ATATTTATTCACCCAAACCATATTTGGTATCAATGTTATACCTAACAGACCCTGAGAACCTGTGTGGCCCGGGCTGGGGCAGGAGTCGGTGTCTTATTTAACTCACCGTCTCCCGATCCACTTTCCCTTGCCTGGGATGAACTGCAGCTGCCGCTAAGCGCCTCTGTCCCTTTTCGGCGGCAGCAGCCATTTATTTCGTTTGGGGACAATCTTGCAGTTTGTCTCCAGGATTGTCCCTTGGGAGGGGTTCTGGCCATCGGGATTAAATCCTGACCCCCCCATCCAGTCCCCAGAGCACTGTGGCAGCTGCGAGACTCTTGAGTCTGCCTGATAATTGCGGTGCAGCCAGCGCCAGGCTCGCAAGCCTCTGACCTGTCAGGGCTTGCTGCAATTCAAAGAGTCAGCTGTTTTTTTAACTTTTTTCCCCCTGACTTGGCTTTTGAATTGCGAAGCTGGGCTGAACTCACCACTTTGGGTCGCACTAGCCTCCTGAAGTGGTGGACAGCTACTGTGGCTGTAGCTGACAGCTTAGGCTGATATATATATATACACACACATATATACATATACATATACATATACACACACACACACACACACACACACACACACAAGTTTTCGCGGGTGCTTACATGTATGGCATTCAGCTTTGTTCGGGTATTTTCCCACGTCACTGCAGTTATACATATACATATACATACACGTATGGTATTCAGCTTTGTTCGGGTATTTTCCCATGTCATTATAGTTGTGCTTTTAAAGTTGTAGCAACGTTTTGGCAGAATCTCATCTGCCATCATCAAGCCTCTATATTGTGTTCGTCTGTGAGTCAGACTTTTACAGTTGTTTCAGTTTTAAATTTGGGGCTAGCCTACTGCTGTGCCAGAATGGTTTTTTCTTCATCCTGATTGGTTGGGAGTCTTGGTCTGTGTTTATTGGTTTGGAGTTTGCTGTGTTCTGCTTGATTGGTGTTTCTAATATCTTCTGTCTGTTTTGTGGCTTTTTTGTGTCTTGATTGACTGGCAACATTGTGTTCCTGTATTGGAGGCTTTTAGTGCAGCTTGGCTCCGAGTAAATGGACGGCTATCATTTGTTAGGAAGCTAGGTTTCATCTGGGTGCCTGGTTGGGGTGTGTTTGAGCTGGAGGTATCGGGGGGGTCTGTTTGTGCCCAGGTGTTTGCCTGGCTAGTGGTGTGGAGATTTTTTTGTTTGTGAGTGCAGGCTTCCAAATGATTGACAGTCTGGTGGAATCATCTCTTCTATTCATGCTTTCAGGTCTTTTTTCAATCTCTATGGCTTCTCTGATAATTCTGTGGCTGGGGTTTTCTATAGTGGCTAGGGTTTTGGTGCCACTGAAGTTGATGCTATGACCTGTGGCTTTCATGTGTTGGACTAGTGAGGAAGTGTGTTCCAGCTTTTTTACTGCATTTTTGTGTTCATCCAGGCGGGTACTTATTCTATTGGTCTGTCCAATGTATGTGGCCGGGCATGATGCACAGGGGACTTCGTATATGCCTTGGTTTTCCAGGTCAATTTTATCTTTGGAGTTTCTTAGGATGGCTGCTATTTTTCTGTCTGTTCTGAAGGCAGTCTTGATATGATGCCTGTGTAGTATCTTACTGATTTTGTCTGTAGTACCTCTTAGGTAAGACAGGACAGCTGTTCCATAGGTCTGTTCATCTTCTAGGTCTCCAGTATCAACTGAACTATCTGTTTGAGAACAAGGAGCAGCTGAATTCGTTACAACGTCGTCCAGAACTGGGGACCGTTACCAGGGGGTGTGTCCTCAGTTTTTCAACTTGGTCTGCAGAGCTAGGAGACTAGAGACTACCCATCCTGGATTCTCCCTTCGGCTCTCCGAGAAGAAGTGTTCAGGTAGGACCTTCTACTCTTAAACCATTCAGGGTTTTATTGATTAAAGCCAGTATGTGAAATATTCCCAGAAACAAACTAAAATCTAGTGAAGCTTTTTTTAATCTATCAAGTTATTCAATAGCTTCATGCAATATTCTATATCAGTTGAAGGTCCTTTCAAAAACAATTCCATGCAGAATTATTGTTAACATTAAGTGTACATATCAGTAGAAAACAAGTAACTGTGGGGGAAGATACTTCTTTCCACATTATCTATTGAAGTTGAGAAAGGGCACTCCAAAACAACACTTTGAAAAGGTTCTGTGCAAAATCTGATGGCAATTAAGATTCTTCCCAATTGAGAGGGAAACTGTGGGCCTCCCCATATTTAAGATCTAGTCTTAGAGTGAAGGAATTTATTTATACCAATCTGCCCTTGCCCCAAACTGTTCCTTCCAGATTCCAATTCATTGACTATAACAGGATACATTTCTATTTAACGAGTTACCTGAGTATACTATTTGCAATTGGGCAAAATCAAACAATTTGTACATATTTCTCTGGCTTTTTATATTCAGGGAGATCCAAAATATATGTACATAAGAATTAATGCTTTGGTCATCTTCACAAAGCTTTGGTCAAAGCACTTCTCCTTAATTATATAACAAGAATTTATATCTCATAGCATATTGCCAGACTCCTTGGCCCTCTGGGATGTGTCAAGTAGTCTCTTATGGACATCTGACTATTAATTTGGGAGTCAGTTTACATTACAAATATTAAACAATTAAAACCATTATTGTAGATGCATATCTATGCAATTTAACTGTCAGCCTGTTGCTAATTTTTAATATATGCCTACAGAAGGATTTTGAGTGAAGTTTTTTTCTTCCCACATACAGTACAAAAATATAGGATATATTGTTTATAGTGGATGATTCCCTTAAACGTTTGTTCCATAAAGAATGGTTTTCACAATGCATATACAATATCTGAATGAAAGAGGCACTTGCTTTGTGCAGGACTATGCACTTTGTATCATGGTATAGCATCTGAAGTTGGAGAACATTATTTGGATATCTTTGGGTGGTACCCAGCAAGTGAATATTGCCTACTTTTGTAGGGGATAAAAGGCTCTTTCTGTCCTCCTAAATGTAGATCAGATCCAAAACTCAACTTCACAGGAAGATGAGAAAGATACTTTATTGTAGGCTAAAATAACAAAATTTCGCAAGTCTGGTTGTACTTCTTCCTTCCTTCCCTCTTACACTCCACTGAGTCATGGAGGGGCCAACCTGATTCTTTTAATATTATTTCTGTTCCAAGGACTTAAGTAATACTTTTGTCTTTTTCGCTTACAAAATGTTTCTCAACATTTCTTCCAAGTTCCCTTCACTGATTCTGTACATGTATACAATTCACTCCTCAGTTCTTAATTTCAATAAATGAATGGCTCTGATATGGATAAAATATTATTTATGTGCCAAACATGGTTCAAAAAAACACCGTTTGAATTGTCTTCTGATTCTGCTTTGGCTATTACAGTAATCCCTATTGTGCTCAATGCAGAGTGTGTCTGAGTGATTGGAGCATACAAGGAGAAAGAGGAAGAGGAGGAAAATAAGAAGCTTATAAATCCATGGCATGTTCCCTACAGTCCAACTATAATTCTTATGCAATATGCTGAGTCAAAACCAACAAATTTGAGCATATCTTAGTGTTTAGTAAGAACAAAACCAATATTTTATTTATTTCATTTATATTCCACTTTTATTATTTTTATAAATAACTCAAGGTGGTAAACATATGTAATATTCATTCTTCCTCCCGTTTCTCCCACAACAACCCTTTGAGGTGAGATGGGCTGACAGAGAGTGACCCAGTCACCTTTCATATCTAAGGTGGAAGTAGAATTCACAGTGTCCTGGTTTCTAGCATGGTGCCTTAACCACTGCACCAAACTGGCTCTATTATGTTACTCTATTCCATTGTTTCCTGCATGGTTTAGTGCGATGTGTACTCCCAGCATTTAAATTACATTTTAATTCTCCCTTAGACATGGAAACCAGCTGGGTGGCTTTGGATCAGTTTTTTTCAGCTCAATCTAACTCACAAGGTTCTAGTTGTAAGAAAAATAAGAACAGGAACATTATGGTTTCCACTCTGAATCTCACAAAATAAAGGCGGAGTATAAATCTAATACATAAGTAGATTACTACCAAGTAAGCATGACTTAACATGCTATACAAATCAAGTAATACTGTAGAGTTTGGATTTCAATATCTTTAAAGCACAAAACTTCCATGGTTTAAATTTGGGAGTGGATAGGGGAGATATATAAATAGCAAATTCTAATTCTTTGGAATTCCTTTGGGAAATTATGTCCTTGAATATCCTCTTGTGTTACTCTAAATAGGGTACTGAAATCTTATTCTTAATGTACTGCACATTCTCTTTTTTTTTTTCTAAATGTTGAAAAGCAGAAGAAGTAGCTAAGTTCCACATTCTTGGAACTTAGCTACTTCTTCTGCTTTCTTGTTGCATTGCATATCTTTCTTACTAGCACGTACCTCACGGAAACTGAGCTTGCCATCAAAGTCTTCATCCACTTCCTTGATCATATTCTTCAGACCCAAATGTGTTTGAGGTGCACCTAGTTTCTCCATCATCAGCTTCAATTCCATAAGGTCAATGTATCCATCCTTTCCAGAGTCATACCTAAGCAGAAAAAGAAATATTAAAAGGCCACTGTTGAGCTGCCTGGCTGACAAGGTGAAGTACACAAAAAATATAACACAGCTCGAACTCACCAGCATAAATCCCAAATATTCTGTCAAAATAAATCCAAATACCACCCTCTAACCAGGGCCAATTTTGTGCATTGTTTAGCCAACAATTCCTTTAGCTATTTCTCCCACCTTAGCAAGATCAGACTTGAAGCAAATTACTCTGTATGACTCAAATTTGTCATTTGCTTGCTGTCTATGAAGAAAGAGAAATGATAGAGTATGAGGTTGGGATTTTTTCTTTTTTAGATTTTTTTTAATCCCACCTTTATTACTTTTATAAATAATGATGGCTGGCCCAAAGTCACTCAGACAACTTTCATGCCTAAAGCAGGATTAGAACTCACAGTGCTGCCTTCTAGCCTGCTGACTTAATCAATAGGCCAAATTGCTATCTGATATTTGAAATACAAACAGTCAGTTTGGTATAGTGATTAAGGTATCAGAAAACAAAGACCACGAGTTCTAGTCCCACCATGGGCACAAATCCTGGAGGGTGATTTTGGGCTAGCCACTTTCTCTCAGTCCTAGGATGGAGGACTTCTGAATATGCTTGCCAAGAAAACTGCAGGGACTTGTCCAGGCAGTGTGAAAGAATGATTGAATGGAAGGGGAAAAAATCCTTGAAAACATGATATTTGAAAAATCATCTGCATAATTAAACATACCACCTGAGATAAAAAATAAAGCACAGCCTGTCACTCATACATAAAAGAAAAAAATGTTTTCCATGGTCTAATTAAATCCTATTCATTCCTTCGTCCTCAATATGGTATTGCTCTTTTAAATAGAGTGATTAAAAAAATCCTCTCAATATCATCCAAATTTTAATTGATTCAGAAAAAGATTGACAGGAAATGGAAAAAAATTCACCCAGTTCTGATGTGACAATTGGCAGAGACTTGGACAAGGAGGTGGCTTTAAAAGGAACCCAAAATCACACCAAACAAGAAAGACACATAACAATGTGGAGCAAAAGGATGGTTCAAGTGCTGGCCTTTCTGTACCTTATCTGTTCATATAGCAGAAGTTTATATACAATAATAAACAATTTTACTGGCATGTCAACTCCATGAAAGCCTGAATTAATTATTGTCCTCAGACAAACATATGTAAAGGGAGGGGGGGAGATATATCTATGTAACAATCACAAAACATAATCCAGATATGCATAAAGAATTTTAGAAATTAACCATTCATGAAATATTAATCTTTTTCTTTTAAAAAAGGCATTTGTTTTTGAAAGAAGCACCATACTAGTATTTTTGTTATTTCTTCTTAAAAATATTCTTTTGGGTTTTAAATGCCTTTTCTCAAATTGAGAAAATTGAAAAAATATGTTCCTTATTATTGAAAGAACTCTGGCTTCTTGATTGAAAATGTTAACAAAGGATCCTACGCCCACAATATAATTAGCACATGTACATAGATTACCTTGTGGGTTTCTAGATGAACTGAAATCTAAAATTTGATGATATAAAGTTTAGCAACACAAGAGCACTTCACATACATAAAATTCCTTGCCACTGGCAGCAAAAATAAGATGAATCATTACTATATTTTTTTTGTTCCTTTTTAGTCTGAATATCCCTTTGGCTACACCCTCCCCCTCACTTCCTGTAACCGTAAAAAAAAAAGAATCTACAAAGAAAAAAGCCAGTTTTGTAGATAAGAAGGGCTGATTCACAAGAAATAAAAAAGAGCCAAGTGGACCAGGGAATAATTAAGAAACACAGATAATATTCACAGATGAGAGAGTGTCTGGGGCAAACACCCTAGGAGTCATAAAGTCAGGTATTATTCTTAGACTTAAGTCTTTCAGATGTTTGATACAGAAATATATTTTAGGATAGAAAAAAGCTACAATTAAAACTACTTTTTTCAGAGCTCTAATTTTGGCTAATAGAAAATTCATTATAATGTTGATTTATTTTTAAAGCAGCTAATATATTTTAATGCAAATAGAGAAAAATAATCTAAAATAAACTCCAAAGCTGATACTAAAGTCAGTTAAGAACCTGGCGAAAGACATGAAGCTCTTTTAAAAACAGATTTTCTAATACTAAAAGAGCAGGATCCAAATGCAACATAGGAGCATACTGGCAGCAATGCCAAAGGAGATTTTCTTTGGCTTGCTTTAAAGACAGTCTTTGACAGCAGAAACATTTCCAAAAAAACTTCTTCTGCAGAACTTAAAACCTGAGTGTATTCATAATGGGAGAGGTGATCTTTTAAAACAATTATCCTTTAACAGCCTTAAGTCATTTAAGGCTTTTAAATTCAATGCTCTACTACAGAAATTGTGCCCAATCAGCAAGTGGTAATCAATGCAGATCCTACATTAAAGGTGTATGATCCTAGTACCTTGTTACCAGTAAACAGCCTAGTTGTCACCAACTGCAACTTAGAGACACTTTTCCTTAATACCATCACTGCCACAATTGCTACCTGTGAATCCAGTCACAACTGAAAATCAAGCAGCACTCCCAGACAGTAGACCTGTTTTTTCGGGGAAAGTACAACTTCATTCAAAACTGGCTGAACCTCAAACTCCAAAATCAAATTTTTATTTATAAAATGTTAAGGGGCGTGCATAAGTGCACAATCGTGCCTTACTATCCCTGTCCTATTGTCCCCATTTATTCGTACTTATGTCCTGTATTCATACTCATGTTTATTCTTATACCTATTATCTTGTAAGCGATTGACAAATCAAATAAATAATAATAAATTTGTGTGCTATTTGCTATCCCTCATCCAGCCCATTGTCATACAGAGGCAATGTGCAAGAATATGGATTGCTTACTGGTCATTAATAAGAAAGAACAGCCACCAAGAAGTAAATCAACTTTCCAATCCAGTTTCTAGCACAGGTTATTCACCAAATAACTAGAACAATTTCAATATAATATCCTGGCTTAGAGGCCAGATAATCTGTATGCCTCAGCTATATTTAGAACTATTAAGATGTCTATTTTTTTTCAGTCAGTTTTTCCAGAAATGGAATAATTGAAACTGGACTATAATTGTACAGATTTTCTGGGCCAATGAGAGCTGTATCAGAGATACAGTACTACTTTCTTAAAATGGGCTTTAATCTGCATTCAGTTTGATCTGTCCCAAGAATCCATCGATCAGATGATCCATTTCAACATGCTCAGGTGCCTAGTAAATAAAATAGTTTATTCTGCTTGGTGGGAGGGAAAGGGCATTGGTACTTACCTGATATGCCCGTTCTCTGTGAGCTGCATTGAGCATCCAGTAGTGGGAGGTGCATAGTCTCTGCTCAGATAGGCTGGGCTTAATTGATAGGATGCTCCTCCTCCTCCACGGGTTCCTCCTTAGCGTCCCCCAGTTTTGGCAAAGACAAAGTGATGTAACCCTCGCCTTTTTTTACCTTGGTTAATTGTTGGTTGGAACAGGATCCCACCAGACGGAAATTGGGTGGAGCTGGATGCTCGTCGCAGCTCACAGAGAACAGGTGGTATCAGGTAAGTACTAATGCCCTTTCTCCAATGAGCTGCTCCGAGCATCCAGTAGTGGGACATACCAAAGCTTGGCTTGTCCTATGGGAGGATCTCTGTCCGGAGTGGAGTCCCCCCAAGGTCCATGTGGACCTGTTGCAAAATTCTCCTACCAAAGGAGGCCTCAGCAGAAGTAAACACACCAATTTTGTAATGTTTAATGAAGGGCGATGGGGAAGCCCATGTTGCCACCCAACATATTTCTGCTATTGGCGTTTGTATGGCCCAAGCCGCTGAAGTTGTGGCACTCCTGGCCAAATGCGCTGTTATGCCCTTAGGCACTGGTAATGATTGAGTCTCGTACACCTTAGCGATTGCAGCTTTCAACCACCTCCCTATAGTTGAAGGTGAGATTTTGTGCCCGAGTGGTTGGCTGAAAGGAAATGAAAAGAGCCTTAGTCTTCCTGAAAGGAGCTGTTTGGTGTAAATACGTACGGAGAGTTCTCCGTACACCTAGTTGATGCCATTGATGTTCTAGCCCCTGAGACGGTCTCAGGCAAAAGTTCGGAAGAACAAGTTCTTGTGCCCTGTGGAAAGCCGAATTAATTTTTGGGATGAAAGCAGGGTCTGGATGAAGAACCACTCTGTCAACATGAAAAATACAAAGGTCTTGTTGGGCTGATAAGGCTGCTAGTTCTGAGATACGTTGTGCTGATGTTATTGCTACCAGGAAAACTACTTTGTATGTGAGAAAATGGAGACTCGTAGTTTTCAGTGGTTCGAAGGGGCCCTTTGTGAGAGCCGTGAGGACCTTGTTAAGGTCCCAGGTCGGGTAATGGTGCACCACCAGAAGGCATAAATTTGTGGCTCCCTGAATAAAACTCTGTATGTGTGGGTGGTGTGAGATAGATCTTAGACCTTTCCAGGTAAAGACCAAGGCTAGGGCCACCACCTGTCATCTCAAGGTGTTCAGTGAGAGACCCTTGTCAAGACCCTCTTGAAGGAACTCCAATACTTGTGCCACTGACAGAGAAAATTGATCAACGTTGGATTTGACACATCATTTATAGAAAATATTCCATGTAGTATTATATATGTGGTTTGTTGAAGGGCGGCGAGCTGCTTGGATGGTGGTGATTACCCTGTTCGAGAGATTCTCATTTCTTAGATGTCTCCGCTCAACCTCCATATGGCTAGGTGGAGCCATTGAGGGTCCGGGTGTTGAATCGGACCCTAGGTGAGCAAAACTCTGTGCAGCGGAATCCTCCAAGGTTCTTCTGTCGACAGACCCCTGAGGTCTGCGAACCACAGCCTCCTGGGCCAGTATGGGCTCACCAACAACAGCTCTGCTTTTTCTTCCAAAAGTTTTTGGACTACCCTGGGAATCACTAGGAGAGGGGGAAAGGCATTTTGGAGTCCCAGGGCCACAGGCAACGTAGGGCGTTGATGTTCTCCACTCCTTGGGATG